GTGAACGGCTCCAAATTTTCTTTAACGGAGAGTCTCCAGACTGATCTGCGAGTGAAACCTTGAAAGCTCGCGAGATCAGGATGGTCTCACGAGGCTAAATGTGTTTGGCCATTTAAGTCATGATGAGTGTGCTTGTTTTATAAAACTCAAATGGCTACACAACAAAATACTTCAACAACCCAGGAGAACGGCGGGTGGATCTTTGAATTGCATCTCACTTGCAGTGTGCTTAGGAGATTGGACCTGCATGCTGCTTAAAAACAACTATAGATTCCTTGTGTGGGAGCCAACAGAAATACCAAACACTTCTGGATAGCCGTTGGAACGTCTTCAGAAAAACTGTGCGAGAGTTCAGTTGCCACCAATTGCAGTCCGTTTTGTGGTTGCCAAGACCAGATGACTGAGAATTTGCACAGGCAACAAAATTAATTGAAGTCACTTCAAGTCTAATTCTGTGCAAGGAGTTAAGAAAAAGCGAGTAAGCCATGGAGTACCTTTGTGCAAAGATCAGAACTGTCGACAAGGTGACACTAAACCCTGGAACCTTCAGAAATCCCTCCGCACTGATCTTATCAAGACGCAAAAACAGGACAAGCAGATGAAAAGTTTTCATCAGCATCAGACGTTTTTTTTTTTTTTTGCCGTATTTGACAGACAGAAGAAAAATCTTCGCTTTTTATCTCAGACGCACAGACTCTGACTGATCCCAGCTCTCCTTTCTCTCTCTCTCATTCTCTCCCTGCTGCAGTTTAACTTTGTCGGCAAACTCCTCGGGCCACGTGGGAACTCGTTAAAGAGACTACAAGAGGACACCCTCACAAAGATGTCGATTCTTGGAAAAGGATCCATGAGAGACAAAGAAAAGGTAACCCTGAAGTGTGATATTTCATTTCTGCTTTGACTCTTTCACCTGTACATTTCATTTCGTGCTCCGTTACCCAGTTTTCAGCGAGGTTTGAAGGTGATATGACTTAATGCTGTTACCTTGCTTTTCATTAAGAGTTTTTTTTTTGTAAAGATACAACCTTTCCAGGACAGCTTTTTTTGCACATTGTATTTCTTTTCACCTTTGTAAAAATAGGTGGAATACCAAGTTACAAAATTCCAGAGGGTTGTTATTCGCCCTTTTCTAGTTTTTCTTTACAAAGAAAATGTTTACTGCAGAGCAAGTTTGAAAATAGTGACATCATGTAAATTGTATCAAGAAAGAAAAAATAACTATGGGTCAGAGGTGGAAAGAGTACTAAAAAATTGTAATTGAGTAAAAGTATCTTTACTTTGCCTAAATTCTACTCAGAGTAAAAGTAAAATTACCCATCTCAAAATTTACTCAAGTAAAAGTACAAGATTACTTCCTTTAAAATGTAATTTGAGTAAAAATTTCTTAGTTACTTTGAGTTATCTAATGGAAAAAAGTATGAGTCATGAATCGAATTGAGCACAAGGTGTTTTAATCAATTTTAAGGCGTATTTCAG